TTGTGACTTCGGACTTCGGGCGGCGGTACAAATGCATCATGCAGTACCGGTGAGCACGGCCAGCACTGGGCAGCCGGCCACACACGGGGGTCGCTAATAGCCGAGAAAGCAAATACGACCAGGGGCTTGCCTGAAAAAAACACCTTTGTCTGTCAGAGAGTTTACTACTCTACCTATGTAATGTACTTCTTCTAGTTACATGGTTGCTCGCCACACTGCCCCCCTCCACCCATGCAGCAAGAGCTACCGCATGGAGGACTGGCTGCACTTCGTTGAGACGTTCTCCAGCTACATCTTCAAGGGGGACGTGCTGCCCGAGGCCTTGCGGGCCCTGTGTTGGAGCCTGTGCAGCACGGTCATGCACTACTTCCGGCCGCGGCCCCCCGACGAGACCCGTGAGCAGTTCCTGGTGGCAGCCAAGGCGGCTGCATGCAAGCTCAGAGCTTACATGACCAGGCTGGAGGAGTTGGAGGTGCTGGGCTACATGTTCACGGTCAACCTGCACATCTGCGTATGCCGGCTGTACGACCAGGAGTGCCAGCTTGGGTCCACGGCAGGGTTCTCCGAACAGCCGGTGGAACGCATGATGCAGCAAATGAAGACGCAAGGCGGAAGGATGGTGTCACAGGCACCCGAGAAGCACTACACGCAGTGGCTGTGCCTGATGTGGGCCTCCGAGTCGCTCACCGAGGCAGACCCCGCGACCGGGGCCAAACACACGACCAACCAGCAGCTTGAGAGGATGTTGGCACAGCGCGCAGTGAATACCGAGGCTGCCTGGTTTGATAAACCAGGAGGCAATGGTTACCTGCTTGGACGAGGCCACATGGTCTACCCGAGTCCAGAACGAGTGGCACAAGTCCGGGCAGCCATGGCGAGCCTAGTGCACTGGTATGCCCTGGCATTCGAGGATGTGGCTTCCTGGACATTGGGTCCCAGTGCGAGCTACGAACTGGACACGGACCGCCTGGATAGGGTTCTCATGTCTACACCACCCGACTGTCCCAAGGCCCGCTCCTTTTTGCGTGCCGAGGCACTCGATGAGTAGCAGTACTTCGGGGCTGAGTATGGGCGCCAGCAGCAGCGGACCTCCTGCTGGGCATGCTACCAGGCAGAAGTCGGCAACGAGACTCAGACGTATGTGGCCTACCTCAAGTACTTCGTCCACCTGCCCGCAGAAGACGGCCTCAGGATGTCCGCTTCGCTGTCGCAGATGTGTACTCGGGACAGGTGTTCAGCGGGGGGCTGGTGGTGGTCAACATGGCGGCCGCCCAGACAGCGAGGGCAGGCAGCCAGTGGGAGATGTGGCAGGACCTAGGGTTGCCGCTAAGTGAGCTGGAGGGCAAGTTCTGCACAGCCGCCCTGGAGGGGGACCGAAAGGGGCTGATGTACTTCATGCCATACACACACTTCACCAACCGCTGAGCAACCGCAGCAATGAGGCCGATGGATGCACCCTTGTCTGGTTGACAACGAATGACATTGGGGGGTGACATGAACGCTGTTTTCGAGGACGATGGTTGAGATGAATGCATCAGGCTGTCAGGCTGGCTGGTTGGCGTTGTGAGTCCAAAGACTTAGGCTATTTTGACAAGGGGTGTGCGTCCATTTTGAGGCTTGCCACAAGTATTCACCAATCGTTAATTTAACATGCAGTAAGCGTCACATCGCAGAGTAATATCTGCCTGTGTAACCCGTGATAACAGGGTCTTCACCCGTAATTTTGCGTGTAATTGGTTACATGCCCCGTAATTTACCCGCAGCACCGCGTAATATTCACCTGTAATCACTGGGTCTTCACCCGTAATTTTGCGTGTAATTGGTTACATGCGCCCGTAATTCACCTCCAGCACCGCGTAAAATCCACCCATAATCACTGGGTCTTCACCCGTAATTTTGCGTGTAATTGGTTACATGCGCCCGTAATTCACCTCCAGCACCACGTAAAATCCACCCGTAATCACTGGGTCTTCACCCGTAATTTTGCGTGTAATTGGTTACATGCGCCCGTAATTCACCTCCAGCACCGCGTAAAATCCACCCATAATCACTGGGTCTTCACCCGTAATTTTGCGTGTAATTGGTTACATGCGCCCGTAATTCACCTCCAGCACCGCGTAAAATCCACCCATAATCACTGGGTCTTCACCCGTAATTTTGCGTGTAATTGGTTACATGCGCCCGTAATTCACCTCCAGCACCACGTAAAATCCACCCGTAATCACTGGGTCTTCACCCGTAATTTTGCGTGTAATTGGTTACATGCCCCGTAATTTACCCGCAGCACCGCGTAATATTCACCTGTAATCACTGGGTCTTCACCCGTAATTTTGCGTGTAATTGGTTACATGCGCCCGTAATTCACCTCCAGCACCGCGTAAAATCCACCCGTAATCACTGGGTCTTCACCCATAATTTTGCGTGTAATTGGTTACATGCGCCCGTAATTCACCTCCAGCACCGCGTAAAATCCACCCGTAATCACTGGGTCTTCACCCGTAAATGTTCACCTGTATCCTTGTGCTCAAATTACGGGACCCATAACGTGTTACGGACCCGTAATTTCTGTCAAATTACGGGTGGATTGACCCAAAATTACGGGTAAAATGACCCCCCTTTTCCCAGAGTGTAGGCTTGTGTTGCCAGCCCCCCAGCACCATGCCGTCTCTAACTTGCCTGCCAGGCCAATCGCCCTAGATTCCTTACGAAGTAGGATTCCGCCTCGGGACGCTGGATGTTGTCCGCTTGCTGTTTCCGAGTATGACTCGGACCTGTGGTGCAGGTGCCTGCAGCTGCCCCGCAGCGGACGCGTCCTTCACCAAGTGCTCGAGGATCGCTCATCCAGCCCCATTCGTGCCCATCCAGCCCCATTCGTGGCATTCGATCTCCGAGGACGCAACGACAAGCACAATGGCCGGGAGTTGCCTAAAGTCGAGCATGGAGCCTCAGGGTTATGGTATGGCAACACGGGGGTAATCGGAAAATTTCCACAAAAACAACCCATCAATTTACTCACTTAACACGTAGGCCCTTGAACGTGTCCATAGAGAATTTGGTGAAAACCTGCTCCAGTGCATCGCAGACTTTGCGCAGGGCTGCCGCGACCATTGTGCTTGCCGTCTTCTACCAGAGGGGTGCAAAGATTAGGGATTGGGTTCGGGTACCGGTCAGGCAGAAATTAGGATTAGGAAAGAGGGGCAGGATTAGGATACAAAGTTGAGGGCAGGTTTAGGATTGCGGTCCGGCCCCAGGATTAGGATTGGAAACCCCCCCAGGATTGGGATTGGGACCCGGCCCCAGGATTAGGATTAGAACCCCGACCCTAGGATATGGATAAATACCCCATATCCAGGACTAGGATTAGTACACTGGTGTTGTATTAAGATTAATGCACTGCAATGATTGGCGACTAGGATACTGCTGTGTAGGAGGACGAGCAAATCCCAGCTCCTCCAGCTACCGTTCCGACTGGGTTAAAAAGTTTTATGCCATGTCATACTTAGTTATGTGACTGGATCCTGTTTCTTACAATGTGAACTGCATCTGCATAACTGAAATGGTCCCAGACGTCCCCTCCCGTCCGTTTGAGCTTGACGGAGAGAGTGGCAGGAGGGAAGTTGCTTTCGATGGATACATGGGTAAACCATAGGAAATAGCAAGACGAGCAAGTAACACCCAGGAAAAGGAAATTACATGTAAACGAGGATTGGGCGCACTAGGGCACACAGAGCACTACGGCACACAGAGCACTACAGCACACAGAGCACGCACTGGTCCATGGGTCAGGTCACCTGTTCTCCCAGCCGAATAAAAGAACCTACATTATCAGCAAGTATGAATTCACATAATGCTCTACATGAACACCTTTTCACCTCTACCTATCCTATATGTCACACACGGGACAGGATGAGGGGCACGCTAGATGCTGCCAAGTCAAAACGGTAGGTAGGTCACATAGCTAGGTAGGCTATGAA